ACATTTAAATATTTTATAAAATTAATAGTCAGGTATAACAAAAGTGGAGCCAGTTTGGTATAGTGGTGAAGGCAGCAGGCTAGAAACAGGGAGACCATGAGTTCTAGTCTCGCCTTAGGCACAAAGCCAGCTGGGTGACCTTGGGCCAGTCACTCTCTCTCAGATCTAGGAAGCAGGCAATGGCAAGCCACTTCCGAAATCTTGCCAAGAAAACTCAGGGACGTATCCAGGCAGTTGTCAGGAGTCAACAATGACTCGAAGGCCCCCCCCCCCATAATAATAATAAATAACAAAGGTAATTTTAAAATGATAATCCATAATCTAAATCAGTGTTTCACATCCTTGGCATCTTTAAAATGTGTGTACTTCAATTTCAGTGGTTCACCTCCTTCCTCAGCGGTTGGTTCCACTTGGTGTTGATGCAGAGGAGATATTGTGTCCATGGCCCCTCACATATGGGGTGCCTAAGACTCAACGCTCTCACCTCTCCCGTTCAACATCTACATGAAACCACTGGGTGAGGTCATCTGCCGGTATGGGGTGTATTATCATCAGTAAGCTGATGATACCCAGCTCTGCATCTCAACCCTGAGTGGCACAGGTGAAGCTGTCATTGTCTTGACCCAGTGTCTGGAGGCTGTTCAAGTCTGGATGGGGCAGAACAGACTTCAGCTCAATCCTAACAAGACCGAGTGGCTTGGCTGTTTGGACTGTTTGTTACCATCCTTGATCTTGGATGAGGCTGGCTTTCCCCATTCAAGACTAATGCACAACTTGGGGGTCCTTCTGGACTTGTCGCTACTGCTCAAGGAGCAGGTGGCAGCTGTGGCCAGGAAAGCCTTCGCACAGGTTTATCTTGTGCGCCAGTTGCACCCTTTCCTCAATTGGGAGGCCCTTCAAATAGTTATTCATGTCCTAGTCACCTCACAATTGGATTATTGCAATGTGCTGTATGTGAGACTGCCCTTGGAGATCACCCGGATGCTACAGCTGGTTCAAAATGCAGCAGTAACACATGCCTCTTGGTGGGCCCGTGTGTCACCACTGCTATGCAAGCTTCATTGGCTCCCAGTCCACTTCCAAGTACAATTCAAGATGCTGGTTATTATCTCTAATGCCCTGTATGGCATAGGCATGGATATGTCCAGTCAAGGAATTTTGTCTGGTGGGATCTAGGCAGAGGGCCTTTTCTGCTGTGGCCCCCGCTCTATGGAAAAATCTACCCCCCGAGGTGCGGTGTGCCTCCACTCTCATGGCTTTTTGGAAAGGTGTGAAATCCTGGCCATGCCAGAAGGGCTGGGGGCCGGGTGGGGGCTCGGATCAGTGGAAGTGGCTTGTGGGGTAATTGATTTTACCCCCCCCCCGTCATCTTAAATGTCTTTAA